TATTTGAAGAGGTAAACATCTAGATCTGATGTTGTTTGTTATTTTGATAATATGTATGCTAGTTTAGGGTTTGCAAGACTTGGATTCAAAGCATGTACAATAGAGAAACCTAGATCCAAGCATTAGGGTTTGTATGAGCACATAGGATTGTTTCTTATGCATAAAACCCATCACAAACTAGTTATTACCTTTGAAATTTTTGTGTATCCTCACACCTAGGTGTGTTTATTTGCAATTTTAATAAGTGTTATAGAGTTTTATAATTTAAACGACAATTTTTTCTCTATTTCGTTTCACAATGTAAATAACAATATCGTAGTCGTAAAAGATTAACTGTAAAATATAATCCTATTTTGGATTGCTCATATTTTCATATTCAATGTGTTTGTCGTATAACTAATTTGGTGGTGCAGGATGATATAAAACAAATAAATCATACTGTTGAAAATTCAAAATTTTGTTAACAAAAGTTTTTGGATAAAAAAAACTACAATGGAAAAATATTCACGTTTTGTACTTTTCATCAATGTAACTTCATATGGTCCTCATTGTTGACACTAAATGGAGTTCAACCTGTATGATGTTTGAAAGTTTGACACATCAAATAATAGCTTTGCAATTATTTTACAACATACTTTCAAAAGGAAAACACTAGGGTTCGGATTATGATTGGGATTTTATGGAAATGTTTGTGGAAATGCTAAAAGTTTTTAAACAATCAACATTTTTTATAGGAGATATATTATCCTACAAGTCCTTTATTACTAAGAGCATCCACAATGGTGAGTTCAGTGAAAGAGTTGAATGAGGTGGCAAACCTATGTGTCATTTAATGGATAAAACTCTACCATAGTGGGATGCCACCTTGGCATTCTGTAACGCGCGGTTCCCGGTACGTATTAAATTTGATTAATTGTATGTTTTTACACTGGGACTCGGCGAGTTAGGGGCCCAACTCGTCGAGTAGACAAGACTTTGGACGCGGGTTTTAAGTAACCTACTCAACGACTCGGGAGCCCGACTCGACGAGTAGGACTGTCTAGATGAAACCCTAATATTTAGGGTTTGCACCCTATTTAAACGCCTTAACTTGCCCCAACCCAACCTCCATCGTCCCTCCCAGTCCAGAAAAGCCCTAACTCGAAACCCTAATCAATTATTGAGTGTTCTTGAGCTTCTTGGTGCCTTTTGTGTGTATTTGAAGTTAGAGAAGAAGAAGGAAGCTTGAGAGATCAAGAGGAGACAAGAAGATCCAGAGTTTTTGGCACATTTACAACTCACTTGAGGTATAAAGCTGAAACATTGACCATCTATCTCTTAGATCTTTAGTTAGGGTTCATTTATACCTTTTCTAAGCCTTAGAAGTGCCATTCTCAGGATTTTGTGGTTATAGAGGGGTATTACTTCAGATCTGGAACCATTGGGGGTTCCCATGGCATAAAGGTGCCAACTTTATGGCCATGGGAGTCCCATGCATCATATAAACCCCATTTTAGAGCCTTTTGAGCCAAAAACCCCATGCATGAACGTCAAGTTTGTAACTTTACGTGTATTATGGACCCTAGGAGGCTAGATGTATGTTTTGGGTATGTTAAACCCGTCTGAAATCAACTGTATGGACATGGACCTTGGGGGACTCGGCGAGTCACGGTATGGTTCCCCAACCCTTTCCTGCTTTGTTGAGTCTAGAAGAGGACTCAACAAAGCAGATGTGAAATTGGACCTGGAAATCATGGGACTCGGCGAGTTCAAGAACAGAACTCGGCGAGTTTAAGGCAAGTCCCAACTATATGAAGGCATACTCGACGAGTTCATAAGGAACTCGGCGAGTCCAGGGCTAAATGTGTCTTCTTGCATGAAGAAGGACTCGACGAGATCAAGGATGAACTCGGCGAGCGAGATGAAGAAGGTCCCGACTTTGTATGATGGAGAACTCGGCGAGTGGGTGCAATACTCGACGAGTAAGATCGAGGTTCTAGTGTTTTGAGGATTTGGGGACTCGGCGAGTTGAGTCAACCGGATGTTGACTTTGACCCAGAGTTGACTTTGACCAAGGGGTTGACTTTGACTTTGGCTTTGATCTGAGTAACCCTTATAAGGGTTAAGGGTATGTAATGGTAAATTAAGGAAGGTCGTTACATGTAGGGATTGAGAGGAGTTGATCCCGGCATCGAGGACAGTTCAGACACTTCACGACATTGAGGTGAGTAACCTTCCAGTAGAAGTGGGTCTACAGCCACAATGCCGACCCACTAGTAGGAGTTGGTTGATAGATGATTGTCTTTGTGATAATTATTTAGGTTTGCTACTACCTGATATGTTTTATGCGATTAGCATGCTGTGATATATGTGATAGTGGTAGTAGGGAGGTTAGCTCCCGGTTACCGGTTGAAAGATACCGAAGGGGTCGTCCGAACCCATGCATGTCTAGCGGTATGTTTATGATATGTTGTTATGTGGTAGTGGTAGGGGTGAAATAGTCCCCAGTTACCGGTTGAAAGATACCGAAGGGGAGGTTAACTCCCGGTTACCGGTTGAAAGATACTGAAGGGGAGGTAAGCTCCCGGTTACCAGTTGAAAGATATCGAAGGGGAGATTAGTTCCCGGTTACCGGTTGAAAGATACCAAAGGGGAGTCCAGCTCCCAGTTATGCCAGACAGATACCGGTTGAAAGATACCGAGGGACAGGCATTGTGTGGTATGTGGTATGATGGGGGAACTCACTAAGCTTTGTGCTTACGGTTTCCAGTTTTGGTTTCAGGTACCTCTTCGTCGAAGGGGAAGGAGCTGACACGGTAGCAGCGCATCGCACACACATGATTTCCGCATTTTGGGATCCATGGAATTTGTACTCAGACATTATTACTACTTTCTGTTATGGTTTTTGAGACATGTGAATATGGTTTGATGAATTGAAATGATGATGATGTTGTTTTTCAGTAAATGGTTTTATAAGTTACTTAATTAAAAACAAAAATTTTGGTCTTGAAAATTGGGATGTTACACATTCAATGGATTTGGAGTTCAATGGTCATTGAACTCTTCAATGGGAAAAGGAAAGTTTTTAATTCTTAAATATTTACTATAAGTTACATTTTGTAAAATTCTATTAAACTTTGTAGAGTTTAATGCACTGTAGGAAAAAACTAATAGAGTTGTATGAAATGTAGAAAGATGATGTAGCAATCCACTGAACTCTATAAAGTTCAATGCATTGTGGATGCCCTAAATGAGTATGGTTGATGGTCGTAAAAATTTGAGCGTTTTGAACAAAAAAAAGTGAAATATTTGTTTTGGTTACACACTCAATGAAAGCAAAATTAGTAAAATATTTTAAAGACATGTCATCACTTTTTACTTACATCACAACTTTAAACCATTATATCAATGGGATGAGTGTAGATGCATTACTTAATAAAATTTCCACATCTTTACGTTTGCACAAAACAGACCCACATTACATCCGCAACCAAATCAACTATTTTAATAATACTTTTACTAGTTTGTTTGACATTTACGCTAGAAAATATGACGAAATGTCAAACACTTTTACCGGTGTAACCGACAATACTAGTGACTCATCGGATAGTGGTGGAGGTATTTTCATATCAACATTTATAACTATATTTTGGAAGAACAAAAGAAAAGAACATATACATTAACCCCAGTAGCAAACTTGAAATTTTATGGGGTCAAACTTTTTAAAATTATTAAGTGCACCACAATTTAAAATTTTGGATCTTTTGGCTTGGTGGTGAGAAAATGAAGCACAATTATAAATTCTATTCATCATGACTTGTGATTTAATAACCGTTCAAGCTTCTATATTAGCTTCGTAATCCGTTTTTTCTTTTTGCTTGAGGGATTACTTGGATTCGATGTAACGTATATAATACTTGTCAACACTCGAAGGCCCGCTTCAAGATAATGTCGAGCCGGAAATAATGAAACAAGAATGGGAACAAGGCATAGCAACGCCTCCGAAACCGGCTTATGACATCGAAGAAAGACGAAGATAAAGAGGATGGTATTGATGAGACCTTTTACACTATCCGCAAAGGTTGAACAACTAAACAAATGCATAGAAGACTACACAAATGAAGACTATTTGGTAAAATATTTTAACGTCACTTTATTATTATTACTAGTTTAGTAGTTTAATTTTTTGCATCCAAAAATCTCTTCTATTCGACATTTGATGTATGTTTTAAATATTATAATGAACCTATGTTGCATGCTATGTTATATTTGAGTATTTAAAATGTTATTTAGAAAAAATAAATTCCAAATCGTACTAAACCGATCCAGAACCGATAACGGAAAAACCAGTCAAATCCAAACCGAATCGGGTCCTTGCTTACGTCACTCAAACTACATCCAAATCGGATCGAAACAATATACATCTATACTTAAGATGAGAAAAGCCTTATAAACTCTCTTATTTTTTTCACCCACCAATGTGGGACAAAGGAAATTGCCAACTTGCAATTTATCCCCTTTTAAATTTCCAACAAATTCAAGGTGACCTATGATCTTTCGTTAAGGACTGGTGACATTTTTCTATTTTCTTGTATTATTTAATATTTGTTTGAATTTTGTTAGTTGACCGTAGCTTTTGATTAGGATACATTTTCCTAATCAAATTTGAATTCGGTTATTCTTTTATTATAATCACTTTGTTTCTGCGAGGTATCATTTTACATTTTGATAATAAAACCGAAACTTATTTGGGATTCTAGGATCATTCTTGGTGTTCTTTGTTTTGTATGCATTTAAAAAGTATATATGCAAATGGTGTGCTCTCAATCTCTCGCGTGGACTACATAATTACTGCTTGCAATCACTTATCACTTCATTAGCCGCATTGACCACAAGGAACAAGGAAGCAATCGTTGTCATCTTCAATTAAAAGTCAAAATTAAAAAACGAATAGCAAAAGCAACAACTAGATGCAAGAACATTAAATCTTTCAACATTGGAGTCATCAATAGCCAAATCAACATAAATAAAAAGAACTATTTTACACAAATCCAAATCCAGAATCCATAAATTATTAAAACTAGAAAATGATACACAGAAAACCCAACATCTTTATAACAAAGTTAGAGACTTAGAGAGCTAGAGGTGAGGTGACTAAACAAATGGTTACCATGGTAAATTACCAAAACACCCCTAAACCCAAATCAGTATCAGAAGTCTTCCACCTTTCCAAACTAGTCAGTTCATGTTCATGTTCATGTTACCTTCAACACCACCACTTTGCTCATTTCTACCAACCTCCCCACCAGATGACCCCAAAGAATTGTTGTTATCTACATCCACCATGAGTTGCTCACCACCACCACCGAGTTGACTCGGCATCCCACTCGGTACACCCCCCACAATCCCATTATAACCATTCGCCGCCATACTCATCAACCCATGTCCACCATTCAAGTAAGCCGGAAAAATAGTCAATGGCAACGGGTTACCCCTGATACTAACCATCGCCGGACCACCCCACGGAATCCTAGGTGTCACCGGAGCCAAACCATAACCACCCACCGGAAAACCACCACCAAACACACCACCGCCATAAGGGTAACCGCCATATCCCGGGAACGGTCCATAACTCGGTAAAACCTCGTATCTAGGTCTATACGCCGCCTGTTGATGACCGGAAAAGTTAGAATCACGGTTTCCGGTAGTAATGCCGCCGGTATTGCAGCTAGTAGTGGCGGAGATCTCTTTAGGAACAGCCCTTTTGACCTCAACTAACTTACCACATAATTCATGGAAGTTTTTTTGCATGACTTCTTCAACAGAATCTTCAGAGTCAAAAGTAATGAATCCAAAACCACGTGGTCTGTGTGTTACATTGTCATGCATCACAACCACATCTGTGATTCTACCGAATTTTTCAAAGTAGAATTTGAAGTCATCTTCAGTTAAGTTAGCAGATAACCCACCTACGAAAATCTTTTTAGTCTTTATGTTATCGTTGCTTTTAGTACCATTACTTTTTCCATTATTCCTATTTAGCCCTCGATTCTGTTCTTGATGATTTTGGTTCTGTTCACTTCTGGGTACTGCTTTTTTCACTTCAACCTATCAAGAATCATCAAAAGAATCATGCATAGAAAGAAAAGATTGTATATTGACTGTTGGGTTTGACTTCTAAAGTTATAAAAACTAATTTGATAAAGATTTCACACCTACAACATGTATCTTGAACTCCAAAAGACATACATGTTTATAACAAATCTGCAACAATTTTCAATTCAATTTGGAAAAGGGAAAACACATGGTTTGACAAGAAAGCCCAAAGATTTTGATAATTTGATCACAATACATGGTTCTTGAAAACTGTTGTGATCTTTTCTCATCGTTTTTCCAAGAATGGAAGAAAAACACTACACTTTTGTAAAATAAGTGATTTGGGACAAAAAAAAAAAAGCAAAAGATTACCGCATTTTTTTCATTGTTTTCTTTGAAAGATTGTTAAAATAATAGTTAGGTTACAAAAAAGGCAAGTTAAAGACTTAAAGTCAATAAAATCAGTTATTCCAAAAAGAAGTGATAATTCAATCTACTATTACTTTCAAAAGCATAGTTGACTCATAATTTTTGTTTTATAGCTCAAAAAGGTGCAAAGACTTCCATAATTTGTCCAAAAACACTTATTTTAGCACATTTAGTACTCCAAAAAGTAATCAAATGTAACCTAATGGTACTTTCAAATGCCAAATTAACTCAAAACTTTACTTTCATACCTCCAAAAAGGATTTTTTAAATACTTTCATCAACTTTTTTCTTGAGCCAGAACAAAAATTTCTAAGCGGGTGATTGAGTAGTGTGCTTTTAAATTGATTATTACCACTTAAAAGGTTTTGATTACTTGGTATCAAAATAATTTGGGGTAAGAAGTCGTGGGAAACAAAACAACTAATATAGCACTTAAAAGTCAAACCTTAAGTTTTAATAATAACTACACATTAGATATGAAATTAGTCGAATTAACTCAACCAAGAAAGAAAAATTTTCGATGCAAATATGCAAAATTAGTGATAAATTCGATGGAAATACAAACCGTTCTCCCAAGAATTGTATGAGTGTCGACGAGAACTTTATCAAGAGCTGATGCATCTGAGAAAGAAACAAACGCGAACCCACGAGGGCTACCAGTGGTTCGATCTTTAGCAATCACTGAACCCACCACAGTTCCATAATTTCTGAAATGATCTCGCAACACATCTTCTGTGGTCTCCCAAGAAATCCCACCCACGAACACCTTACTTTGATCACAATCCTCCATTGAAATTAAAAGAAATTAATTTTACGAAGCAAAAGAAGATGAATTATAAACAAGAAAAGAAAGAAACGCCGTTTCTTGATCTTATCTGGTCAGAGGGTTTATCAACAAAACAAAAGGGGAAAACTATAAAACATTAACTGTAAACAACAAAAGGTAAAATTTCATTTTCTTGGTTCTTCTGGGGTTTCATGAAAAGCTATAAAGAGTTGGAATTTTGGAAGGAAAACAGACACTGCACTTTGATTTAGCGTAAACAAATCAAAAACTAAACAACACCCAGACAAATAATTGTTTAAAAAACAAGTGTTTGAAACAAAGAAACCCCTTTTATGGTTTTCTAGGGTTTCAAGAACAGCAAAAAGGGTTTTGTGTAAATTGTGTTGAACATTGGAATTTTTTGGGAGCAAAACGAAATAAACCCTTTTTATTTTTATTTTTCTAGGGTTTCAAGAACCGAAACCCAGAGAAAACTGAAATTGAATTTTAGGGTTTCAAATTGAAGAGAGGTTTGGGTATGTAGTAAACGGAAGACACTGAAAACAAAAAAGGGTGGAGTACGATTGAGAAAATTGGAGGCATTTTATTAGATTCTGTCGAGAATCCAACTGCGTTTAGGAAACGAACGACCTGGGGTGTGGGAGTGGAGATGGGGTTCCTTTGACTTTGACCGTCTATATCATCTATTTGGCAGTAGGTCATTCTTTAGGTCAACTATATTACGAGGATAAATCCAAATCCAAAACAATCCATAACTAATTACATCTTATTGTACACAATTATATAGAGAAATTTTTTAGTTAATTTTTTAATTATTTTTTAAAAAATAGTAGAAAATTCAAAAAGAATCCAAATAGTCATAGCTTTTGAAGGTGAGCACCAACTAAAATCCAACTAAAATCTAGATAGCCCGTGGAAATCTAAGTGTCATGCATTTTTTTTAAGATTTTTGCATGCCATTATTTGCAAAAATATGAGTTTTCATAAATGGTGAGCTGCAAAATTCTCTTTTGGAAAATCTTGAAAAAATTGTGTTTTTTGGAAAAAAAAAAAGAATATGTATTGTTATTTCTAGTGGACTGCGAAAAACAAAGACCGTACTGTGAACATCCGAATTTGTACTGTTAAAATATTACATTGTACTCCCGCATTTGCTCATCAATCGGCTCAGCACCAGCAACTGAACCCGAACCAGAACCTGAATTTCCTCCACGTGTGATCATCACCATTCTAAAAAGCAACCATATAAGAATCGGATCATACCCATAAAATTCCTCATCCTACAGGCTTCCTAGAATCTATGTGACCCTCCTTGATTCGAGTATGGATCATATGCTTTCAATAGTATGGGTCCAATACTACCTTCCACACCTATCCATACTTTCCTCAAGAATTATCCTGAATCTTCTAAGTCACCTTCTCATACTCGTATTCCAAATACACACTAAACAACGCATCCATACCCACTAAAACACTTCCTAGGCTCTCCTAGGTTCCCGACTTCACCCTGTCATCAGCTGCTGAAGAACTCCCACTAATGTCAGCTAACTACTTCATGAATGCAATCACATGCAACAAAGTTTAGATAATCCTTCGAGTAAAAGACTCACCCGCACAACGGTTAGACTCAAACGAGAGTTGCGCAATAGGGCCAAATCCATCACTCTGAGATTATCTAACCTTTACAGCATGTGACTTAACGTATTCACTTAATGGTTAACTCACATCAATAAGGGTCCCATAAAGCACAAAGAAAGAAGCATTCGTGCAGTAACACTCCAAGCCACAAATCAAACAAAGGATATCCCAATATCACTTGCTACCACCATGCTAGGAACTTCTACTCTCACTTTTCGGTTGCCTTATGCATGCAAATTATACACAATACAGGATCAGATAGAGTGTTGAATAAAAGACTCTACCCTAATACCACAACTAGACGAGGAATAGAAAATAAAGCTAATTAAGTCATTCTAGGGCTATATGATCCTAATCGTATACAATTTTTAAAGCGTACACTTAGCAATTACTTCTACCAATACATATTCCAAATCTAACATAACATCCAATTCCTCCTAGGCTACAAGGCATCATATAGTAGGCCAATCTATCATGCATTTCCTGTAAGTATCCTTAGCCTTATCCTAACATTCAAGCATCCATATCATATAACATATCAACATGTATGGGTATCCTGTGAATCACTTACTTGAGCTCGGATGATTGTACATATCACACCCCTTCTATATAAAAGTCTTTTTTAGAAAACTTATTTTCTTTCAAAAAGATTACCAAATTCCTTAGTTTGAGTTTAGACACACTCGAGAGTGTGCTCGAATCCCTCAAACCAAGGCTCTGATACCAACTTGTAACGTCCTAAAAGTTCATAGTAAAATTTTCATTTTCTAAAGCAATAAGCCATACAAACGAGTTGTTCCAAAACCGATTAAGTGAATATATTATTTAAACATTAGAGTAAAGACCATAAATTGCCAACGTGGAAAAACTCTGGGAGATGTTGTGCAGTCACGCCATACCCCTTCCTTTCGTACCGGAAGTACCTGCAACCATAAACATAAAACCGTAAGCACAAAACTTAGCGAGTTCCTCAAAATATCACATATCATACATACAATAGAGATTGCTATGTGTCAACCATAGTGTTGTCATTATGCCATGAGTCGTATCTGATGGGTTTTAGGTAAAACAAATAAACTAGAAAACAATTCCTAAGTTCACATGCAACCTACTTTGGATCTATGTTTTAACTATTGAACATATAACTTTGAATTGCAAAACAAGAACCCTAGAGGAGAGAGGCTAATTTCGAAATTAACAAACTAGGGTTTAGGGTTTACATACCTTTCAATTGTTATAGCAAACAATTGATATTCCCTTGATCTTGATCTTGATCTTCTTGGAAGCTTTAGCACCACAAGTGTAATGCCTCTAATGGAATCACACCCAATGACTAGCAAGAAGGAAAGTAGAAGAAGAGAGAGGGGAGGGAGTATGCAATTTCGGCCAAGGTATTCTTCCAAAGAATGAGTACCCTAAAATGTGAGCCAGGAGGCTCCTTAAATAGTTGAGGGAACTAGGGTTTAGGGAAAACCCTAGTTATCCTTTGCTTAGGGCCTAAGCAAAACCCAAGGCCTTATCTTGGACCCCTTGGACGAATTCTCTAGGGTTTCCCCTAGGGTTTTCGTCCACCCCCTTCCAAGGGAGTTCTGGATCCTTCCATTCAACTATCAGTTAATTGCAAACTAGTCCCTGCACTTTATAATCAATTCTTTTAACCCCAAAATCAATTCTGATTAATTTCTGGCTAACAATTAATTAAACATAATGATTTCTAATTAATATATTAATCCATTAACATATTAATAAATCATTTATATATATATATATATATATATATATATATATATATTAATTTATTAATCTTATAAATTAATATCTCTCCTTTCATAATTTCCTTGTCCAGTTGCTAGGTTGAGGGCAACCCAAAAGGACTGTGCTGCTATCAATTCAAGTACATACCAATTATAGTTATGGGCTTAGACACCTAATCCAACAGTATCATGGTCTTTGCTTTCCAGGTCAGGGGCCAAAACCCTAGGTCTTACAGACAAGTGCCAGGAGCTACCTCCTAGTCTTCCATGTAAGTATCACAAAGACAACTAGCATACTACATAAAACTGCCAAGGTCCAAACCATATTCTTGCATATAATTTGTCGGGAGCCGTATCCAGGTCTTTCATACAAATGCCAATAGCCACCCCCTGGTCGTCCTACATAACATAAACCAGTGGGCCGATATTGGTGCCTTCGACCCCCCGAGTACGGTGAGAGACTCACCTGAATCACAATGTTGACTAAAACCTCACGCAACGTCGCACCGATCACAACCAACAGCTCTCACCACCAAAAGATGGGTGCTAAACACTTCCTAACAATCCACACAAGGCAAACCCTAAGTCTACCTTCTAAAAAATAGAGATCGACTAAAAGTCAACCCAAGCCAAAAGTTAACGGTCAAAGTCAAAGTCAACAGCCCATAATGTCAACTATTCATCCTCACGTCGTGACCAACCCTTGGTCACGTTGTGAGAGCTCACTCGGTCCGATTCCAACTCATCTCGACTCAACTCAGCCAACTCATACATGAAAAGCCATTAAATTTGACCTCACATCGTGAGCATCCTTCCCTCACATCGTGAGCACCAAGAAGCTTAACAAAAAATGGGGTCATTCAACCCTCACGCTGTGAGACCCTATGTCTCACGTCGTGTGCACAGTCTGAAGTCAAAATTCAACCATTTAAGTCCTTAATCCATTAAGCCTTTTACTCTAACTTTCCAAAAGGTCTTACAACTCCATAATACACTTAAAAGTCGATGCTTTATAGGAATGTACGTCCAATACATGTCTAGATCTCATTTGGGATCAAAATTGAAGAAAAGATCATCCAACTTTCATGCAGAATGCCAAAACTCAACCATTCACTAGATCTGAACTTCAAGACACTCTAAAGACCCTTGTAACCCATAAAGTTGCCAACTTTATGGTTTCCATTCAATCAAACTTGCTCAACCAAGCAGAAAAGTTGGACAAAACTTAGATCTATCCACAAACAACAATAAATGTGGAAGCTTTGACACTTACTGTAGCACCCGATTTTTGGTACGTATTTAATTTCATTAAAATGTTACAATTTACTCTGGGACTCGACGAGTTGGAGGCCCAACTCGTCGAGTAGACTCGACTGTTGGATCGGGGGTTTAAGTGACCTGCTTGACGAGTCGGAAGACCGACTCGACGAGTAGGAGCTGTCTGGACAAAACCCTAATATTTAGGGTTTGCACCCTATTTAAACACTTTATCTCGTCCCAACCCAGCCTCCATCACCCTCCCAACTCAGAGAAACCCTAGATTGAAACCCTAAACCATTTTTGAGTGATTTGAGCTCTTTTGGTGCCTTTTTGTGTGTGTTTGAAGTTGAGGGAGAAGAAGAGAGCTTAGGAGATCAAGAGGAAGCTAGTAGATCTCAAGGTTTTGCTTCATTCTCAGTCCATTCAAGGTAAAAATCTTGAACCTTGACCATCTATTTCCTAGATCTTGTTTTGGGGCTATTTCCCCACATTTTCTAAGCTTTTGAGAAGCTATGTTCAGTTTTGCTTGTATATGTGGGTTGTGCTTCAGATCTGGAACCATTGAGGGTTCCCATGGCATAAAGGTGCCAACTTTATGGCCATGGAAGACCCATGCATCATATAAACCCCATTTTATAGCCTTTTGAGCCAAAAGCCCCATGCATGGACATCAAGTTCGTAGATTTACGTATAAAAAGGACCCTAGGAGGTCAGATCTATGATTGGGATGCATTAAGTCCCACTGAAATCGACTGTATAGTTCTGGACAAAGAGGGACTCGGCGAGTCACTTAGGTGACTCGGCGAGTCGGGACGCTTTTTCCCAAAGTGTCTCCTGGAAATGGTTTTGGTTGAGTGGAAGGAACACTCTGCCAGATAGCGGTTTGTTTTGGACCTGGAACTCATGGGACTCGACGATTGTATGAACAGACTCGGCGAGTCCAAAGCAATCTCCCAACTTATGAAGACGGACTCGGCGGGTTCAGGAGGAACTCGGCGAGTCATAGACTGAACATCTTCTTATGAATGAAGATGAA